CTAAATGCATCTAAAATTCGTCATCCGGCTCTACTCAGCATGAAGAATATGCTCAGAATGAACTATATATGACACATGAAATTCTATATTAAAACAATTATTATGTAGACACTATATCACTTCATAAGGCTTATTAAATGCTGCACTTTTTTTTTGCTGCAATTCATTTAAACTTATTTCTTCGAATTATTCTAACATGAATTTACAGTTCCCTCAAAGCAAGCTTAAAATGACTTAAAAAATTACAAATTTTGAAATTAAATATCCCGCTTAATCTTTGCCGTACTGGAGTCAAACGTCTTCATTTAAATTTTTTCGTAATGATTATAAAAAAATTTCACAGATATACGTAGAGAAATAGGAGACCACATTAAAAGTTAGATTTCATTATTTGCCGAATATTTAATTATTGACATGAATATTCTCGTTGTGTAAATCACTTCTATAATTTGAAATACATAACTACGATCAGGATTGAGAAAATAAAGGCCGGAGAAGGACGTATAAGTCGAGTTAGGAGGTGCGTATATATGTATATATATAGATATAGATATAGGTATAGATATAGATATAGATATAGATATATACCCACCCCTGTAGACTAATTACATATACATTTGTTACCGCCGATTGCAATGAAAAATACAGGTGCACAACTACAGTCACGTGCAAAAGTTTAAGACCAGTAGCCGTTTTCCTGTATTTTAACAGATTGCACCATTTTCGCTCAAGATGCGTTTTATCGCATGCGTTTTTTGCATGTGTTTATCGCATGCGTTTATTGCATCAAATGCTTTCTACTGCTATAAATATAACGTGGTGTCATTTATCAGTAGTTCGCTATTGGATTTTGCGTACGCAATGCTGTTGTATAATTCTTGTAATGGGTAAAAAACCTTCACTTACTGTTGCAAAATGGGCAAAAAAAGTGACCCTGCATGAAGTTGGCTTTTCTAAACGTGAAATAAGTTTGAAGATAAATATCAGCAAGACAGGCATGCATCAACCTATCAGTAAATTCGTGATGATCGTGTGATAAGAAGGATGATCACTCGATGTCCAACAATCTCCTACAATAAAATTAGAGTTGCTCTGACTGCAAAGGGTACCAACGTCAGTTTGAGTACTATTTCAAGGCGTTTGACTATAGCTCATGGTTTATTTTTCTATAAACCTGCAAGGAAACCTCGATGAGGAACGACTAACTTTCGCCAGACAATATCAGAATTGGAATGAACAACAGTGGAGTACAGTGTTATTTTCCGATGAGTTAAGTGTGCAGCAATTTTCTGCACGTACTAAATATATTCTCCTCCCATATGGAAAAAGATATGATGACAGACACACGATTCCGACAATGAAACACCTTCCAAATCAGATGATATGGGGTGCAATGTCTGCGTCTGGTACTGCTGCTGTATATTTCTTGCCACCTAAAGCCACGATGAACGGCAGCCGGTACCTTAATTTGTTACATAGGTTGAAGCTTCACTTGGATGTTAACAGATGTTCAATTTTCATGCATGATGGGGCTCCGTGTCACAGGGCAAGGAATGTTAAGGACTATCTGAGGGCTACTCAAATCCAAGTGCTTGATTGGCCAGGTAACAGCCCAGATATGAATCCCATAGAGAATCTGTGGTGTACTGTGAAAACTAAAGTCGCAGAGAAGCTATCGTCTAGTGCTACAGAGCTTGTTGAAGCAATAAAGCATGTGTGGTGTCCAGAGATTTCTCAAACTTACTGCCAATCTTTTGTTCATAGAGTACCTAAAAGGATTGCAGCAATGATAAAAAATAAAGGAGGTTCGACACAATACTGACTATACTTCAATAACCTTGTAAGTCTATTTTTTTCATTTATAGCATATGTTTTTGTTGCGGAATTCCAATAAATCTAATTTTTCCATGTGCGGCCTTAAACTTTTGCACACGACTGTAGATGAAATAGCAGTCCCATATACAAAATTATATATGCGGATGCTAGAATAAATTTTGATTGTTCATTAATTATTGCATCAACCGTACAAATATCGTCTGCTTCTGAATCCTATATACTCTTACGCTGCTCAACAATAAATTCTATTGTGCACAATCTGCTACAATCACCAAATTTCTATAAATCGCAACACCATTAGTTTGGAGAAATAAAATAATTTACAACAAAGACCACATAACCACACTGATTGCCTACGCGCAACTGTCTACCAGACGACCTTGCATTCACACGCGGTCGCTCATGCGCTCAGAACTTCACCAAACTTTCGCTATTTGTGACGCGTTAATATGCGTATGTCCAGTTATTTTTTTTCTTTTTTTTTTTTTTTTTTTTTTTTTTTGCTAATGTGCTCTTTCATCTATTTAATGATGTATTTAGATTGATCGTAACATTTGTAATTTCAAAGATATAAGCATTGGCTCACGCGTGTAATAGCGTCTTAATTTTTGCTTTCCCGTCAGACCATTATGGAAGAAAGTACTCCTAAGTTAAAACGCATAAAGAATTTAGGTCCTTAATTGCCTTTTTATTGCATCAAATTATCCATCAAAACTCGTTACTTAATTCGGAACGAAAATGTTAACGACTGGTTATTTCTCAGAGCCTTTATATAGTAATGAGCACTCAGAACATGTATAGATTCCTGCCACAATATGCGCAATAATATGTTTGAAAAACATGCTGCTTTGGGATAAGTGATATCACTGAATGTGCAGATTTTTTGTCATGTTTTAAAATATTTAACTCATAGTTATTAAATTCAGATGTTTTGCGAAAGATACATGCATCTTTGACCAACTTGTTTGACAAATTGACTGACATAATTGGTATATCCTCGCAAAGGAGAGTGACTGTAATATTTGTACAAAGAAATGAATGCTTAAATGCTTTTTTTCAGGCAACGAAGTTTTCAAGGCATATTTCCATTGTCCACTGATTTCTCAATGCTCCTTTACTGCCCTTTGGCGCAGACTTCTTATAGCCCACAGGTCATCGATCACGGCCACATTGCAAAGTATGTGTAAAACAATTTACAAACACGTGTTAAAAATTAAGAATAATTTATTTTAAACTAGGCGATGAGTTGTTTTATAAAACGGTCATCAATTCGCAAGAGATATTTTGATATAATTAAAAACATTTTAGCTATAAGAGAGTATCTCTATTTGTTAGTGTTCATTTCTAGTTGCTGAATTGTGAAAAATAAGATTAGGTTTTCCTCAAAAATTTCCGTAACCCTCTAACATTTTCGTAAATCTGTTCAGTAATTTGAAGTAATAAATCTAACCACGTCAACTTTCCATCTGAATTATAACGGGAATAATTTCCACAATGTTTTCCCCCGCAGTTTACTATTACAGATCCCAAATGACTTTTATATTCAGAATGTTATGTGGCATAAATTTATTCTTTTAACTATTCAAACGTGTCCAATTACAGACATTTGTTCTTCATTTGATAAATATACACATAAAATCCTTTCATTCTTGATGTGCCCACTAAATAAAGCACGCAAAGCATAAAAATCTTTCCTAATTGCTTTAGAATAAAGCTTCTAAAGAACTTTATTACAATAAAGAATCTTATTTTTTCCTTTCCCAGACAACTGTCAATTACAGCAAGGAGAAAAAAAGAAAAATGTAGCTCTGTAGAGAATTCCTTAAAGTTTTTTGAAACTTAAATGATGCAAATCTAATGTATTTTAAGCGCTCGAAATCTGTTCTGCCTTCTGGCTAGACAAGGTCTAGGTATTCAAAATTACAAATCTAGATAAAGCAGATCCTTCGTATATTTACATAAGCTTCATTTCTTTCGAATAAAAAATAGCAATTTAAACTCAAACCTTCTGTGTTGTTATAACAAATCAGAAGAAGAATAAAACTAATCTCACACGAAAAACGTATTTTTAATGCCTAAACAAAGATGGTGAAGGCAATCTAAAAATAAATTAAGTATGTAGAATATACATTTTTATAAAAAGTTGTTTACGTAAACCAGAATATAACTTTTGAATGATATAGAGTAGAAGAATAAAATATCAGATTAAATACTCTAACATTTTATTAATACTATTAGCTGTTTTTTTTACAGTGAAACAGTATCTGTTTACGTATCACGAACGACACTTATAGAAGAAATACAGCAAGATTTTCAAGCAAGTAATTCGTTTCTAAATTGTGGTTATCGACTAAAATAATATTCAAGCGCTACACTGAATCCACATTCCTAACGAACTAACCCTGGTCTCAATAACAATCCCAAAATTAAATATTTCTTGGGTGATTTTAGTGGAACCGATGCACTTAAAGTTCATAGGTAAAAAAATCCTTTTAGTAGGCTGATGATAAAACAAGAGACTATGAAATCCTCGAATTGAAGCAATAAAATCTAATATTCCGTAGGAAATTTTCTTGATTCGCATGGTGCCATTTCACTTAAGTATTTTCCGTAATTGTATGTATGTATAATTTAAATTAGCAATAGTCCTTATTTCCCCCTCTCTATTCTAGAATTCGTAACAACTCTTCTGAAGTGCATTCTTTCTAGATCAATCCATCTTGTATGGATTACTTAATGCTAATGTCGTAGCTAATTCGGAATCTGAACTCAGAATTTTGAGAATTGAAACCATTCTAACCTAAATCAAAAAAGCTTCTCTTGGTTTGCCTCCCAACTAGACAACTGCGCACTTTCGCTTCAGCTCTGTCACAGTCAAAAAGCTACTTTATTCGCTGACGCGTTGCCTTACCTCTGCTAGCTATTGTCCACTGCCCTAAAACGAGTTAATGCTGTATAAAATTGTGGAATGCATATTGCGCTCATGAATAAGATCTTTCGAAAATTTGTTTCAGTCCAGCAGTAAAATTATGTTCGATTCGGCCACGTTCAGGGTCGGATTTACGTATAAGATACCCAAGTTATAGTTTAGGGCACCACTTTATTGGGGAGCTCCTAAAATTTAAAATATAGTATACATAGTATTAAAATATATTATAACATACTTATAAAGGGCCCCATATCTTATCAAGTCTAAATCTGGCTCTGGCCACGTCTGTCTACAAGTCTCTACTTCGAAAGTCATCTTTGTAACTAAGCAGTAAAGTCTCTTCAGGTTATAATGCAGAGAACCGTCGCCAGTCTGTTGCAGCTTTCTCCAAGTGTTCCTGTTACATATATATATATATATAACGAATGATTGAAAAGCTTATCTTATCTATTTTTTAATAATTTTTAACCTCGCGTCTCCTTAGACCGCATTTACGATGCCACAAGTAATTCGAGTGCATCCAAATTAAGAGTTTTTTCTCCCTCTTCCCCGATTATCCTATCTGATAAAAGTAACATTACTTGCAGAATGACTGTATGTTACGCACAGGTGGCACAGTAGTCAGTGACTCTGGCTGCCGTACCGATGGCAGTCAACGTCACTGACCGCTATATAAACCATCTGAAATCTCTTCGAATCCTAGAGAAAGCACGGATGTTTGTAAGTGTATAATATCTGTGCGGCAATGGGGTACTTAAATTACACAGAGTTTCAATTTCTGTCGAATGGTTTTATGGTATGAGAAGAGGAGGGTTAATCTTGGATTTGTATTCTCCATTAAAACTAGTGCGGAGCTAAATAGTCCGGCGATATCTAATATGCCATCGGGAAAGCAGATGTGCTGGCTCCGTTTTAACTTGTAGCTGCATATTTTGGACTAGAAACGTTGTTAGATTGCGCGCTAATTATTATTTTTTATTTGCTTAAATAACTCTATGAAAATGTATGTTTATAAATTACATTTTCATAGAATTATTGAACACGTATACAGCAATTCCAAGAAATATTCGCATCTTTTCGCTCACAGTCAATAATTAAAATGCCACAAAAAAGTTAAATGAAGTTTTCTATTATTATTCTTCTTTTACTAGAAAAAAACCCTAAATTGAGTGAAACAAATGTCATCATATGTGTGAAAAAACTTCTATATGAATTAACAAATTTAACACACTTTGCGAATACGAAGGTGTTTAACGCAATTTGTGAGTGCAAAGAAACCATTAATCTGTATCCAGGTTAAAAGTGAAAAATTAAGCATGCATTGTTTTTGTTTGCAAAAAATAACACTAAATAAATAAAAATAAAAGAACTTCAGATTTTAGTAACACGATTTAAGACACACAGACTTAAAATTCAGACTTATTGATTAATTGATAGATTTGTAAAATTTTGGCTTCTACTGGGACGCAAATACAACAATACCCTACACTTGTCAGACGAGTATACTATTTAAGAGACTGGAAATCAGTAACCATTTATCGTAAACTATACTTAAACTATAAAACTGTCACTACGAACTGAGAACCTCAGCTACTATCCCGTATAGCTACTTCAAGTCATTGCATATAAAATTTAATAAATGAAATTCTTCTTCTTTCAGTTCAGGTGAACTTCTTTGCGCACGAACGAAGTGAGACGAAGCTTTCACGGCTATCTCAATAAAAAGAGACCTACTGCTCTCTCCGGACTTTTATAGTTTTTCTCGGCAGCCTAGAAATATCTAGTAACTTCCTTTTCTAGAATTTAATGGAAGGCGTACGAGTGGCGGATACGGTTACAGTTACGTATAGAGAGCATAAACAGCTATTCAATTACAATACCAATTACAATTATACAGGAACCGGACCAAAACGTCCGCAAATGGTCTCGAAATTTGGCGAATTTAGACGATTTCTCGCCAAACTGCGAGATAAAGTTTATCGCCAAAACCGTCGATAGTTTAGCGATATCTATCCACTTTAGCGAGATAGCCGTTTATTTGATGTGAAATAGATTTGCCCCCGTATTCTTATTTTCTGGCAGACCTTCGTCTCTTCCAAGCATCTGTTTTTTACATTGTACAAAAAATATTATAGTTTCACTAAAGTTTTATAAATATATGCAAAATCCGTGAAAATATTCATCAAACATCCTACAGAATGTTTTACTGTTACGTTGTTACTCCAGGGCCCTGAATACTATTAAACTTTAAAAGAGCCCTTTTAGGCGATTGTTAAAATCATCATTTTAGTATATTATTCAGTTTTTTTTTTCCGTGTATGTGTTGTTGTTGCCAAAGATGCCATCATAACACATGAGCACGTTTTCCTTAACTGCATATGATACTGGACTCTTTTTTTCCCTTTTTTCAGATATATGAAGGTATTTGATAATTCTGGTAAATGTCGTAGATTACCTAAAGCTATGCTCCCTGTTGCCATACTTTGACGCCAAATAATGCAGTGAAGTTTTCTAAAATTTGGTTAAAAAAAGCAACATTGATTTGCGTAGATTTTGATTAAAACTCTATGAATTTATGATCACATCTAAATCCATATTCTTAAGAAAATTAATTACAAAAGTAGAGCAGCATGAATCATTTTTCGGGGAAATGAATGATCGAAGAATAGCGAAAACGCGCCTGTCGAGGAAAAGAGTAATGTAATGCAAAAGAGCTAACTTTGAATTGTATCCTTTGTCTCAATACATACTACTCTGAGTTATAGCTTTTAAGACCTATTCTTATTCACAATTCAAAACTTAAACCGTGGCATAAATGAGAGAGAGAGAGAGAACGGAGGACGTGGGCACTATCTCCTTATCAAACGGTTAATTAGTATAGCACCACGTCCACCACTATCTATAACACCCCTTCAAAACACATAATGCCACCTGAAAGTTAATCAACGTGCACGACAAGATATACAAAATAACATGTTACAGAGTTACAGATTAGTATTTAAGATACATTACTGATACACTACCGATGCAAATATGACAGATGCAGAACTGATAAAAGGCTGATATAATACTGATATTAACACTGATTAATACTGATACAGTACTGATTCATTGATATAAAACTGATTATTAATACTGATGAAATGGGAATTATTTTGCACAAGTCGGTAAATAAATCCACAAATAATAAACTGGTGTGCAACACTTAAGCAACAATGTAAAACTTTAGCAGATAGCCATGAAATTGCAGAAAAGGAGGTCTGGAGATCAGTACAACACGTATGACAGTAGGAACGTCATGCGTATGCAAATATCAGGAACGCAACGTCAGAGGCCACGTGAGCGTACACAAAACGCGTGATGTCGGCGCGCGCAGCTCAACAGTAGAATAAAAGGAAGGACGGAGACGCAATTCAACATATTCGCAAGTGCCAGTGATTCAGTTCGTGAAATATGGCTAGAAGAAATCACCTGGACGACTTCACACGTAGGAGAATGATCGGAAAGCTGGAGGAGGGGCGTACTGTCACCAGTGTAGCTGCATAGTTCGGAATCAACAAAAGTGTCGTTTCGCGCGCTTGGAAAGCGTTCGAAACCACAGGTACAGCTGTTAGAAAGGTTGCTGGTGGCCGCCCGAAGACGAAAAATGCAGGGGATGACGGATATATCGTCCTGCATGCGAAAAGAGGCCGACAGCAGTCAGCAAGCGCCATTGCTCAGAAACTCTGTACAGCAACGGGGCGACAAGTGTCACGGTTTACTGTGGCCAGAGGCCTTCATAAAGGGGGCCTATTCGACCGCCGTCCTGAACGCTGCCTCCCGTTGAAAGTTGGTCACCGACGCCACCGTTTACAGTGGTGCAGAGAGCACAAAAACTGGACAACTGATCAATGGAGTCGTGTCCTCTTTACGGATGAGATTCGGTTCAGTACCAGAAGCGGTTCTCAACGCGTTTTGATTTGGAGAGAGGTCGGGACCCAATTTTATCCCAGTAGCATCAAAGAAAGACATCGTAACGGTGGTCCTGGAGTTCTTGTCTGGGGAGGCATTATGTTGAATTGGCGAACTGAGCTCCACGTTTTCGACAGAAGGTCTGTAACCGGGGATCGCTATTGTAAGGAGGTACTCCTTCCCCATGTGCGTCTGTTCCGAGATGCCATTGGCCCAGACTTAACTTTTATGGATGGCAATGCATGGCCAAATCGGACTCTTGCTGTTGAGAAGCGACTGGAAAGCGAAGATATCACTCGAATGGATTGGCCAGCGTAATCCCCAGATTTAAATCCCATCGAACATGTGTGGGATGCTTTGGGGAGACGCATTGCAGCACGCTTACATCCTCCGAAGAACACCCAACAACTCAAACAGATGCTGATTGAGGAATGGGCACTCCTACCGCAAGAAATGTTGCACCAGTTGGTTCTGAGTATGCGGAGTCGGTGCGTAGCAACCATTGCAGTGAGGGCAGGACATATCCCATATTAAGGAACATCTGCTTGTTGTTCTTCCTCTTGGATAGACAATCATGAGTCACGATACTATGCGTTCAATAAAGCTTGTTTTTGTTTGATTCCATACCGTATGCAGTTTATTCCTTTTCCAGCTCCGATGCTTTCGTCATCCTTTACGTACATAATACTCTCCTTCATTTCTGCATTTCATGTCTCTCAGTTGATTTCTGGTGGAGTAATGGCAAAAAACCCTGCTGTTGCTTAAGTTTTGCACACCAGTGTACGTTACAGAGACTCAAAATATTGCGAATTAAAATATCACAGATCAATGTTCTACTGTTACAATTCTTGTACTATTGTACTATCTATAGCACCTTTACTTGTACTATCTATAGCACCCCTTCAAAATACATAATGCCACCTGAAAGGTAATCAACGTGCACGACAATATATACAAAATAACATGTTACAGAGTTACCGATTAATATTCGAGATATAGTACTGGTACATTACGGATGCAAATATGACAGATGCAGAACTGATAAAAGGCTGATATAATACTGGTACTGATATTAATACTCATTAACACTGCTACAGTACTGATACATTGATATAGCACTGATTATTAATACTGATGAAATGGGAATGATTTTGCACAAGTCGGTAAATAAATCCAAGAAATAATACGTTACAGAGGCTAAAAAAATGCGAATTAAAATATAACAGATCAATGTTCTACTGTTTCATTACTTGTACATTACTGATGAAATATAACTGATACACTACTGATACAAGGCTGATATAATACTGATACAATGTAAGACTGTTTTTATTGCTCATGCGATATATACATGAGCAATATGCATATACAGTACTTTACTAGTATTAATAGTCATACAATACTTTGAAGTTTTAATACGTGCGTAA